GCTTGTGATTGTTATAAGGCCGAGGGCCTTTTTGATTATGCCATGAGATGGCTTGTTATAGCGCTTGGGCTGTAGGAGCCCCTCCAGGAGTTTGTACACCCCTAGTGAGCGCGGGTACCCAGTGTGAGATGTGATGTTGCCAGAGGGGCTGTTGTTGTTTCATGTTATTGCCCGAGGGGCTGATTACGAGTGATTGTGAGATAGCCCGATGGGCTGGTTCTATTGATATTTTGCCCGAAGGGCGGTTATGGTACACATTTTTCCCGAGGGGCTGTTTTACGTTTCTGTACTTTTACTCAACGCTTTTATCACTCGTTTGAAACTGTTGAAAAGTGTTTTAAAATGGTTTTACTGAACTGAGATGTTTTACGAGTTTTACTACTTTACTGCATTGTTCTGGACTTATATTGTTTTGATGTAGCGTTATGCTGTGGGGTACGTGTTTTCTTACTATTACTTACTGAGTTGGCATACTCACATTACTCCCTGCACCCTGTGTGCAGATCCAGGAGTATCGGGTCACGCTAGCGAGTGCTGATTTGTCTTCCAGCAGGCTTTCGGAGTTGACTAGGTAGTTGCTTGGTGTTCGCAGCCCAGTGCTTCTCCTTCCTATCTTTATCCCGCTTTGTATTAGCTTTGTTTCAGACTATGTTGTCTTTTCATATTTCTAGACGAGTTGTAGTTGCTCATAACTGGTGACAACCCGATGTCGGGCTGTGTTTAGTTTCCGCACTGTTCTATTCTACCTTACATTTTGGGATTTCAGCTTATTAATGACTTTTAAATGACTTATTATAATTGTTTGGTTGGTTTTGGGGTTTGTGTCGGCTGGCCTAGTTTCACAATAGGCGCCATCACGACCAGGTCCGTTTTAGGGTCGTGACATTTACTCCCCAATCTCTCACCTTACTTCTTTTAGAGACTATGTGCCTTAGGAGGTAAGGGTTCAACAATCTCAAATTAAGATCAAAGAGGGTACGACTTGTAATGTGGGTGCCAAGGAAAAGGTCTATAGGCTCAAAGGGGCTAGCAACGAATTTTTTTTTATTTTCAAGTGACAAGCACATCTATGATCAAGCAAGAAAGCCTTTGTCATCTCCTAGATAAGCACAACTTAACAATTTCGCTTCGATTAACATATGTGGCAAGTTCTAGACTACACAGGATAGCACAGAGAATCACAATTCCTCACTCACACATTGCACATGACTCAATCAAGACGGTTCTTTCCAACTCTCAAGTCAAGCAAGCACAAATAATTGAGAAAATTTAAGCAATATTGCACTATGTGGCATACAAGTCAAACAACCGAGAAAAGGCATCACAGAGTAGGCTATTTATTTTACTCGGGCAACACAATTCAAATCAAATGTACGGGAAGATAGAGCGCATGCCATAGCTAATATGCCAGCACCAAACACGTCAACAGGTATCTCACAGCAACTCAGTTTCTTCCTAACCTACTCCTAAAAAAAATAAAGTACCTAGTTCGAGCTACACCCTTGGAAAAGAACCGGTGCCTAAAGAAAAACCAAGGGATACTACCTAACTATCCTAAAGAAATCTTTTTGGTGTTTTTTAATCGGACTTTAATTCCTCAAGAAAACTGTCCACAAAATCCATCGTCGGAAAAAAACCAAAATTTTCTGATTTTTTTTTCTTTTCATTTTTTTAAATTTTTTTATTACACAAATTACTATACTAAGAAAGAATACTACAATTAAGCTAGGATGGCACGGAAAATCATTAGCAGCTCACGGGATACTCATGCTTCTCCCAGAGATGATCCTTTGTGCGGGTACCCCACACTTAGTTCCAACCATCGCTTTTGCACATGCCTAATGGCTTTGACTCCATGCTCCTACTCCTATATATAAAACACAAAACAGCACTACAAAAACAATACAATAAAAAATAAAATATAAAAAATAAACAAAATAAAAAGAAATAGCAGAATTGGGTTGCCTCCCAACAAGCACCTTATTTATAGTCGTGGCACGACGCCATCACTTTTACCACTTTTCCTTCCACTTTGAGGATATGAATTGCACCCCTAATTTCGCATCAATTTTTCTATCACGTTCTTTAGGCGGTGGTGTGAACATAAAGGAACCAAGCAATAGATATCACATCTTGCACTTCTTGACCCTTAAGTGAGGGATGTCATTTGTCTCCTTGGCATCACAAATTTCAGAATATATGCACTTTGTTCCCCATTCATTGACTCCTCCATAGGCTCGAATGGATGAATTCTCGTGTCACGAACCACGCACAATGTTGAAAAATGGTTAGAGTGAGGTCTAATGCGCTCCAACTCTAGAATCGCTTCACTTTTGACATCCTCNAATCTCAAGAGAAACCCACTGAGACATTCTGTGATATGCGTACTCGTTGGAGGTCGAAAGCGCGAAGATCAGGAGCCTGCAGGTCATGGATATCTGAGTTAAATTGGTCTATCTCTTGCCTAAGCTCAGTTCTTCCTTCTATCAGTTGTTCTGCGTATTTGAAAGACCATCACAAAGAGACTCGTGAAATTTTATTAGCTGAGCTTGTTCCTCTAGCCAAGATTAGCTCACTATATCTGCTTCTTAAAAATTTTCTTCTGGAGGGTACTCGCTCTCTTTAGACAATTCTTCCGTCTCGACCTTCATTCTCATGATTGTTGCAATAATTCTTTGTATAGCCTTTTGATTTTCATATTGTTGCTCGGCTACTTGCCTCATCATGTCCATAATACAAGCAACACATTTCACATCCTCCACTTCATTGCTCCTATAAAACTCATAAACATTATAAGAAATATCATAATAAGGGCTCAGATAAGGGTAAAATAAATTAGGACAACAATCCCAATGGCCACCTTGACAACCATACATATTACAAAAATTCCACTCATATGATTGAGATTCACAATTTTGCCACAAGTGTGGTCCTCCACAATATGGACATGGATCACCAAAATAAGAATAAACAATATTCAACCAGTTCTCATTCCAAGATGCCATGTAACAAAAAATATAATACTAACTACACTAAACAAAAATTAAAAACTTGAATAGAAAAAAAAAGTAAAAGTCTAATCTATCAAGAGTCTCAATTTTAAAGTCCCCGGCAACGGCGCCAAAAACTTGTTGCTCCCAAACGCACACGCAAGTAATCGTGGTCGTACAAGTAATTTAGAATTCTAAGTCCAGATATCGTACCACAGGACTTGTGATTAACTATATACTAAATTAAACTAAGACAATTAATCTATTCAAGCGATTTTCTAAAGATTATTAACTACAACTAATCTAGAGTAGCAAACTAAAAGATTAAAGGAAACAATTTGGCGAATATTAGAGACGAATTCAATGAGAGGCAATATTCTAGAGCTATGGGTTAACAAACAATCCCGTTAAGTTTTTTACCTAAATTGTCTAATTAATTTATTTAGTTTATTGATTGACAGAGTTAATATTACTCATAGCCTTCTCCCGAAGTACTACTCATCTATTCAAGCTAACCTAACGCCTATATTCTAATGGAATTAGCATTAACCAGGATGCATTAATAATTCCCGTATAATAACCAAGCAAGGCGATTAAGTATATCCCTATCCTAACCGCAAATCTATTCCCGATGCTCCAGTTCAAGATATTGCTCTACTCAATCTTATATGCAATCTAAAATTCCCTCTCTCGTGTTCAATCCTAGATTCGTAGATAGTATTAAATTGGTGATCAAGAAATCAAATGATTAAGCACAAGCTAGATTGAATAAATAAACAAAAATGATAAAATATTAAGAACAATTCAAGCTTCAAACTACAACGTTCATGTAGCACCCAAAACTCTAGAACTAATAACTATAAAGTTAAAGGGAGACAAGAGACGAAAAACTAGTTAGAAGTCTCATCCAAGCATGGTTTGTGTTCTCCCCCGTGAATTCTCCTTCTAAGTGTATTAGATATCCTCCAAATTAGGTTTAGACTTACTTTTATACGAGTTAGGGGGGGTCTTGTGCCGAAATAACCTTATCCTGAGCGAAGTAGGAGATGTTTCCCGTCACCAGCACCAGGGGTAGCGTGGGGCGTTAGCCCTGGCGCTGGAAAAATAAGCTTTCTGGAAACAAGGCCACAGGTAGCGACCCATGCTACGTGTGGCGCTACACTGTCCCACTTTTTCGTTTTGCTCCATTTTGGCTCTAATATCGCACCTTTCTCCCCCTATTGACTCCGTATGATTCCTACATATAAAAACACCATGAATAAGCATAAATCAATACATTTCACATCCGAAATCCACGAAACACGAGTAAAATTTGAGACGGTATACATATAAATATATATACTTTAAGCCAAATATCAGTAATTCTAGTATATTTGTGAACATTCACAAGCAAATGGATCAAACAGAAAGGTATTACTTGAAGTCACCACTTCCCACTAGATCCTTTCATAATGATACCTTAATGTACTTGTTGGAGCTGGTTGTTCAACGTCTACTATGGAGGATTTACATGAAAAAGAAGAGAACAAGAGAGAGGATTTAGGGCTTGGTCTGAACGAGAATGAATTTGGTCGGTGTGACCAAAGTTTTTTATCCTCTCATGATATAAGAGATCTGAGCCGTCCAATACAGAGGAAGACTTTTAATCTCAAATGCTCATCATATATGGATTCACTTAATCATCATTATTGATTAGGCACAATTGTCAACTTAGGATACCCATTCTAAATTATTCTTTGTGCATGTGAGCACGTGACAATACATACATATTTGTTTTTATATTCTTGCATATAAGATGGCTAGTTAGGAATACACAAATAGAAATAGTACACATGTACAGTAGCTAAACAACTTTTGATTTTTTTTATCTGTATAAATACATGTAAAGTTGGTAAATGAAATACACAAAAAATTCTCCACTGCTTTCTCTACAGTATTCTTCCATGGTATCAGAGCAATAAAGATAAATCCATCATCATCTCCTTTATTCCTCTATGTGAATCTTAGACCATGCCTGATAACACTAAAGCAACAATCACCAAAACCACCACTGGTGGGATATCAATTATCAGTTCCAATCATGCTTACTTTCTTCAATCCTATGATACACCAAGGATGTTACTTGTCAACACTGCCTTTGATGTTAGAGGTTTTCAAGGTTGGAAAAGGTCAGTGCTCATAGCACAATCAGCCAAGAACAAGATAGGCTTCATAAATGGTGCTTGCCCAGCATCAGCTGTTGGTTCAAAGGATTTCCAGACATGGAGCAGATGTAATGACATGGTGACATCTTGGTTTCTCAACTCACTATCCAAGGACATAGGGGATAGTGTCATCTACTCAAAATCTGCTAAGGACCTCGGGATCAGTTTGGAGCACAGATTTAGCCAGCCAAATGGAGCTAAGCTCTATCACCTGAGGAAAGAATTGCAAAGATTAGTTCAAGGAACAAGTGACGTAGCAAGCTATTTCACAAAACTCAAACGACTATGGGATGAGTTGGATTCACTAAATTCTGATGTGAAGTGCAGTTGCTTGTGTGTGTGTGTGAAGGAAAGCAAAGATTAGAAAAGTCACTAGATGATGAAAGACTCATTCAATTTCTTATGGGTTTGAATGACAGTTATGGACAGGCAAGAGAAAACATCCTCATGATGAATCCTTTGCCAAGAACCAATTATGCATACTCTCTTGTGTTACAAGATGAAAGCTAGAAAGAGATCTTTGCCAATCCACTCATCTATCCCGATTCCTCAGCTTTCATGGTCACAAACCAAAACAATTTTGCAGAAAGAAGAGGAAGGCATGCACAAAGAGGGAATGCACAGTATCCAAAGTTTGGAAAAAACGTGCAAAAGGGAACTAACAATTCCATTCAGAGGAATTAAACTTTCAAAGGAACGGAAACCAAGTTTAATCCTAATGTATCCTGCAGTCATTGCAAGAAAGTTGGACACAATGTTGATGATTGCTACAGAATAATAGGATTTCCAGAAGACTTTAAGTTCAAAAAGGGTAATCAAATGCAAGTCAGAGGCAATGGATCATTTCAAATGGAACAAACAAAACAAAACAATACTGGTCAGAGTGAAGTGTTGAATCAACACCTATCACAAGATCAATTTTTTAAATAGCTATAACTAATTAAGCAGGTTAAGGTTGCAGATTCAGGAAATCCAGGAGTAGAAATCATTGACAATGTTGTTGCCGGTACTATTGCAAGATATTCTGGAACTTATTTTTCAATTTTTAACTCTAGTACATGGATTATTGATTCTGGAGCCTCTAAGCACTTGTATTTTGACTCAAATGCCTTTATTTTTTTAACAACCCTGCCGATCCCCTTAAGTATAAACTTACTTAATTCTTTCAAAGTCACAGTCACTCATGTAGGAAGGATATCTATTCTACCTGATTTCATTCTGGAAAATATATTACATGTGCCTAGTTTCAGATGCAATCTATTATCTGTTAACATGTTCTGTTTACAGTTTTAGTCAATTCTCTTTTTCACTTCTAGTTACTATTTTTGCAGGCCCCTTTAGTGAAGAAGGTACAAGTTTTTGGTGAAGCTAGGGAAGGACTTACCTCTTGGAGCCAATTCAAGTTATAAATAACACAGAAGTAGAGCCAAGTTCATTTTCAAATCAAAATGTCTTTAGTCAGTTATCCGTTTCTTTTCCTTTCTCTGAAAATGTAGTTTCAGATGTAAGCCTTTGGCATGTTAGATTGGGGTATTTGCCTTTTTCATCAATGAAACATCTTAGTTTTATTTCTTTACCTTCTAAATCTAATTATTTCTGTGACATCTATCCTAAAGCTAGACAAACAAGAATACCCTTTACTTTAAGTCAAATTAAAGCAAAAAGTTTTGAGTTAATTCATGCTGATGTTTGGGAACCCTACAAAGTAGCTACTTACAATGGTTTTAAGTAGTTCATAACTATTGTGGATGATTATAGTAGAGGAGCTTGGACTTTTCTTATGAGTACCCAAAGCAATGATTTTGATTTTTTCAAAAACTTCTTCACAATGGTGGAAAGACAATTTGGGGTGAAAGTGCAAAAATTAAGAACAAACAATGCCTTTGAGCTTGGGAAAGGTTCTCAAGAGGCAGCTTTCTTGCTTCACATGGAATAATACACCAAACATTATGTGTGGCATCACCTCAACAAAATGGAGTTGTTGAGAGGAAGTATAGACACCTTTTGAAAATTGAAAGGTCTCTGCTATTTCAGTCTAAGCTTCCTCTGATTTAATGGGGAGAATATGTGCTAACTGCTACATATTTGGTTAACAGGCTGCCTTCTAAGGTACTCAAAGGAATCTTACCCTAATATGTTTTATTCAAGCAACAACCCTCCTATGATTCATTCAAGTGTTTTGGTTGTCTTTGCTATGTGTCTACTTTATCTGCTGAGAGAGAAAAATTTGACCCAAGGGCAAAGCCTTGTGTGTTTCTGAGATATTCCTTGGGGCCAAAAGGATATAAGATTCTAGACCTAGATACAAAAAGAATGACAGTATCCAGGGATGTACAATTCTATGAAGATCAATACCCTTTTGCCTCTACTAATCTAATTCCAGCCCCTATTTTTCCTATTCCCTCAACCTCAGACCAAAGCTTTCTATCAGACCGTGACCAACATGATCCCATGACATCTAGGGAAAACTCCCAATCACCATCCCAATTCATCAACCAAAACATCTCTAGTACACCTCAGTCAACCTATACTTCTCATTCAAGATCATTTGCTCATTCCCCTTTGCCCATAGCACTTTCAGAAATCAGGAAGTCCACCATAACACACAACACACCTGCATACCTACAAGACTATGTATGCAACTCAGTCTTTCTTGTTGATTTAACTAACTCTTATTTCATGGCACCAATTCAACCTAATGTGTTACCCTTCACAACTCTTTCATTTGCCAACCAATCCTTGATTAATTCCACTTCTTACCTTACAGAACCTACTTCCTATTCTCAGGCTATGTTGCATCTAGGTTGACAAGAGGCTATGGCTAAGGAATTGGAAGCTCTTGAATTGAACAAAACATGGGAAGTAGTAACTTTACCTACTGGGAAGAAAACTCTTCCCTGTAAGTGGGTTTCTAGAGTATACAAATCAGATGGTTCTTTGTAAAGGTTTAAAACACGTATATCAGGGGAGACACACAAATAGAAGGCATAGACTTCACTGAAACCTTCTCTCTAGTTGTCAAAATGACAACAATCAGATGTCTACTTGCTATTACAGTAAAGAAATGATGGAAAGTGTCACAACTAGATGTGAACAATGCCTTCCTACATGGAGATTTGCAGGAAGAGGTGTTCATGAAATTCCCATCAGGAATATCACCACCTTCACCCAATCATGTTTGTCTTTCAAAAAATATCTATACGGACTGCGGCAAGCCTCAAGACAATGGTATTCTAGGCTCACTACAGCCCTCAATTTCAAAGGGTATTCACATTCCTTAAATGACTATTCACTATTTTCTAAGAAATCAGCAGGCAGAACTACCATAGTTGCAGTCTACGTTGATGACATCCAAATCACTGGGGATGACTTTAGTGAGCAGGAAGACCTTAAATTCTTTCTTAATCTGAGTTCAAAATCAAGGATCTGGGGGATGCACACTATTTTTTAGGGTTTGAAATTATCACAGAAAAACAAGGAATCATTTTGACTCAAAAATGTTATACCTTAGACCTCTTGTTTGAGTTTGATTGCATGTAAATGCGACCAACATCTTCTCCATTAAATCCCACTCAAAAGCTTCGACCACACCAGGGTACTTTGCTTTAAGACCCCACCTGTTATAGTTGATTTTAGGGAAATTAAATTTCCTCACACATACTCGACCACACCTCTCCTTTGCTGTGCAACACCTCAGTCAATTCATGCAAATGCCTCGCCAGCCTCATCTAGATGCGGCCTTTCACTGCCTTAAGTATCTCCTCAAAGATCCTGGTTTAGGACTTTTTCTAAATTCAAGGCCTGATTATCAACTGCTCGCATTCTGTGATTCCGATTGGGGATCTTGTCCTCAATATCGCAAATCCATTAATGGATTCTTCATCAGCCTGGGAGGTACCCCTATTTTCTGGAAATCAAAGAAGCAAACTTCAGTCTCTCTTTCGTCTGCTGAAGCAGAGTATCACTCAATGAAAAAAGTTGCGGCAAAATTTACCTGGTTGGTCCGTTTATTAGGCGATCTGTCTATTTCCCTGTCAATGCCGGTAAATCTCTTCTCCGATAGTTAGGCGGCTATTCACATCACAAGAAATTCGGTCTTCTACGAGCGTACCAAGCACGTGGAGTTGGATTGCCACTTTGTGCGGCATCACTTTTTGGCCTGAATCATCTCACTCTCTTATATCCTGTCCAGATCTCACATTGAGGACATATTCACCAAACCCTTAGCTGGGTCGGCACATAGTTCCATTATTGGCAAGTTGGGTGTGGCTACTCCCCCCTCTAACTTGAGGGGAGGTGTTGGAGCTGGTTGTTTAGCGTCTACTATGAAGGATTTAGATGAAAAAGAAGAGAACAAAAGAGAGGATTTAGGGCTTGGTCTGAACTAAAATGACTTTGGTCGGTGTGACCAAGGTCTTTTATCCTCTCATGATAAAAGAGATCTGATGTCTGTTGCAATTGTACTTCTCGAACGCGAAGCTACTCTCGCAATCGCGAATGGGAACTAGGACAGGGCACGAATTCCTTTATCGCAAACACGATGGCTAGGTCGCAAACGCGAAGCTTTGGGTGTTTTCCCTTCGCGAATGCTGGCAGCCTCTCGCGAATGCGTAGGGTTGAGGAGACCTGGAAGGGTGCATCGCTGTAACTCTACACGAACGCGAGCCCTGGCTCGCACACACGAAGGCCTGGGGGGAGAAGCCTTCGCGAACGCATAAGGAACACCACGAACGCATAGGCCATTCTGGCTGCTGTGCTTCGCGAATGCGTCAAGCCCTTCACGAACGCGAAGAAGGCCTGATGCTCAGTCAATTAAATATCCCAAAGACGGGATTTCACCTATTTTTCACCATCTTCTCATTAGAGCTCAGCCTAGAGGCGATTTTGAAGAAAAATTTCATCACCATTTCATAGGTTATATACTTTAACTTGTTTTCTTCCATTTTCCATCAATACCCATTGATTTCTAACCTTTATTTATGCTCATTCATGGTAGAAAATTAGGGATTTGGGTAGAATTGGGAGTTTTTGTAAAATTGAGATTTAGACCTCAAATTGAGGGTCGAATTTCGAAACTAATTACATAATCGGGCTCGGGGGTGAATGGGTATTGAGTTTTTATCCGAATCTCTGGTTTTGACCAAGCGGGCCCGGGGTTGACTTTTGTTGACTTTTTGGGAAAAGTGTAAAGATCGTAACTTTATGTATTGTAAATTACTTCCCTAGCACTGTTTGATGTTATTGAGCCAATTTCGGTTAGATTCGATTGGTTTGGAGGCGGATTTTAGAGGAAAGGCCCCGGTTGAGTTTTGATTTGCTTGCGGAGCGAGGTAAGTGTTGGGTCTAACCTTGATTTGAGGGAATAGGAATCCTTGAGCTATGTGTTATGTGAATTTCATGTGTAGTGGCGTATATGCAAGGTGACGAGTGTATATACGCTGTCAAAATAATTATTTCCATGCTTGCCCGTAATTCATTAGTTATTTTGTTCCATATCCTAACTGTTACATACTTTAGTTACTTCCTATGCCTTAACTTGCTACTTATCACTTATTACTCTCGTATTAAAATGTTCGTTTCTTCCATGCTTCCAGGATTAATTGCTACTTTCCTTAATTGTCTTATTTGTACACTTTAATCGTCATATATTTGGCTTGTCTTGTTGCTTTGTATTAATTGTAGCGTTCCTTGATTTGGTCTATGGATTTTTTAATCGTAGAGATTCTTGTGAATTAATTTATTGAATTGATTACATTTATTGATTTTGTTTATGGATCGGGTTGCACGCCGCAACGAATATTATATGCTGTTTTGATATGGTGAAATAAGGGAGGATTATGTTTGTACCAGGTGGGATCAGGTTGTGCGCAGCAACGGATTTGTGTTTTGTATTCATTGTCACATTGTGTTAGCTTTCAGTGTTTTTGTACAAGATTTTGAGGACTGGTGTTTCTAGTTTTACTGATTTTGAGGATTGAGTTTATTTTCATAAGTTAATTGTCTTACTTTTTCTGTGTTCCTTTCCTGTTACTATTATTATACTGCGTACAGGTTATTGTATGTGACCCGCCTTAACCTTATCACTACTTCGTCGAGGTTAGGCTCGACACTTACAAAGTACATACTCATACTACACTCTGCACTTCTTGAGCAGGTTTTGGAGTCGGTCTTAGCGGCGGTCAATAGATTGCTCAGATTGATTGCCTGACGGAGACTTGAGGTACAATTGCTCGAAATTCACAACCCTGAAGTCCTTTCTACCTTAAAAACGGCTAGAAACTATTCTAACATTGTCTTACCTAGCAAGTGAAATGTTAGGCGCCATCACAGTCCCGAAGGTGGGAATTTCGGGTCGTGACAAGTTGGTATCACAACACTATGTTGCCTAGGTCTCACGAGTCATGAGCAAGCTTAGTAGAGTCTGGAGGATCAGTACAGAGATGTCTATATTTATCTTCCAGAGGCTATGAAGTTCAGGAACAATTTCACTCCTTTCTTTCTCTATTGTGCAATTTTATTATATCATTGATGATTGAACCATTCTACTGTTCACTCAGAGATGGAGAGAACACGCACTGCATCTACAGCTGGACAGGAGCCGGAGACCCCTGTGGAAGCTACTACTAGGGGTAGAGGCCAAGGCAGAGGCAAAGCTCAGCTTAGAGCTCGAGTAGCAGCACCTACAGTGGAGCCTCAGATTGATCACAAAGAGGAGGTTCTAGCTCAGACACTACTCGTCGGACTAGCTCATGTCCCGAAGGGGTTCATAGCCACTCCAGTGTTTTAAGATGCTCTAGTCCATTTGGTAGGAATATGGAGAGTGCGGCCCAGACCGGTATGTTCTCGATGGCACCAACCGACTCTTGGGTTGGGGGGAGCACAGTCTCCCACTACTCACACCCCGAGGCAGGCTGCTCCGTAGTATCAAACTCCAGTAGCCCCGCCAGTTGGGGTGGTTTAGCCGGTTGTTGCAGCACAGGCCAATGATAGGCATGCTATGTCTTTTGAGGCTTTGTTGAGGTTGGACAAGTTTACCAAGCTATTTATCGTTCATTTCAGTGGTGCACCTTCTGAGGACCCACATGATTATCTAGAATGCTGCCACGAGGTGTTGGGGAAAATGGGTATAGTTGAGACCAATAGGGTCGATTTTGTAGTGTTTTCGATGACTTGTTCCGCCAAGAAGTGGTAAAGAGATTATATGTTTACTAGACCAGCTGGGTCGCCTGCACTTACCTAGGATTAGTTTTCATAGCTATTTCTAGATAAGTTCATCCCTATCATTCTGAGAGAGGATTATCGCAGGCAGTTTGAGCATCTTCAGCAGGGTAGTATGATTGTTACCCAGTACGAGACTCGATTTGTGGACCTAGCTCACCATGCCATTATCTTGCTCCCTACTGAGAGGGAGAGAGTGAGGAGATTCATTTATGGGCTCACTTTCACTATCAGGCTACAGATGCCCAAGGAGACTGGAGATGATATTACTTTTCAAAGGGCTATATATATTGCTAGGCAGATCAAGATGATTCGTGATTAGGAGAGGGGGCCGGTGTTTGATAAGAGGCCTTATCATTCTGCTAACTTCAGGGGTGCCTCATCTGGAGGCAGGGCCACTTTTGGTTGAGGCCATCCTCCAAGGCCATTTCAGTCAACGTTTCATGCATCCCATAGTGCTTCAAGGAGTTGTGGTCCTTATGTTCTTCATTCTGGACAGCCTGCATACAGTGCACCATCAGCTTCTATCAGTGCACCTTCGATTTAGAGCTATCACTGTGGTTATCCGGCCCGTTTGGTTCAGCTTCCGCTTTAGCACCCACAGCAGCAGGATGGGTATTTTGTGGGTGGAGGTACTAGTCACATCAAGAGGTTCTGTCCGAGATTGTTGGGCGACATACCACAACAGAGTTCTCGTGCCATGGTCCCGGCACCGGTTGCTCCACCGCCCGCTCAGCCCGCTAGAGGCAGAGGTCAGGCAGCCAGAGGTGGAGGTTAGGAAGTTAGAGGTGGAGGTTAGGTCGTTAGAGGTAGAGGCCAGCCAACTAGAGGTCGTCCTAGAGACGTAGTTCAGAGTGTGGGGCCCAGCCCCGATATTATGCTTTTCCAGCTAGGCCTGAGACAGAGTCATCTAACACCATTGTCACAAGTATTGTTCCAGTTTGCCATAGAGATGCTTCATTTCTATTTGATCCGGGCTCTACTTATTCCTACGTGTTTGCGTCATATCTGGCTGTGCCTCGTTATTCTTAGAGTGCTCTTGTGTATGTGTCCATGCCTGTGGGAGATTCTATTGTTGTTGATCACGTCTATCGCTCGTGTGTGATTACTATTAGGAGTCTTGAGTCTAGCGTAGATATTCTACTTCTTGATATCGTTGGTTTTGATATTGTCTTGGGTATGGATTGACTGTCACCTTATCATGCTATATTGGATTGTCATGCCAAGATGGTGACCTTAGCCATGCTAGGGTTGCCTCGATCAGATTGGAGAGGTACTCCTAGCCATTCTACCAGCAGGGTTATCTCTTATGTGAAGGCTCAATGTATGGTTGAGAAGGGGTGTCTAGTTTATTTGTCCTATGTTCGTGATTCGAGTGCGGAGATTCCTTCCATTGATTCAGTACCTGTTGTGCACGAGTATCCAAAGGTGTTTCTACAGATCTGACGAGGATGCCACCCGACAGAGATATTGACTTCTGTATTGATTTAGCTCTGGGCATTCAACCCATCTCTATTCCACCATACCGTACGGCCCCACCGGAGTTGAAGGAATTGAAGGAGCAGTTGCAACATTTGCTTTATAGGGGATTCATTAGACCTAGTGTCTCGCCCTGGGGTGCGCCCATGTTATTCGCGAAGAAAGATGGGTCGATGAGGATGCGTATAGATTATCGGTTGTTGAACAAGGTCACTATCGAGAACAAGTATCCGTTGCCAAGGATTGTTGACTTATTTGATCAACTTCAGGGTGCCAAGATGTTTTCAAGGATTTATTTGAGGTATGGCTACCATCAGTTGAAGATTAGAGCATCCGATGTGCCTAAGATGGCTTTTCGGACGCCGTATGGGCATTATGAGTTCCTAGTAATTTCATTTGGGTTTATAAATGTCCTAGCATCATTTATGGATTTGATGAATCGGGTGTTCAAGCTCTATTTGGATTCTTTTGTGGTCATATTCGTTGATGATACAGTCAAGAGGAGCATGAGCACTATCTTCGGATTGTACTTCAAACTCTGAGAGATAGCCAGTTATATGTCAAGTTTTCAAAAGTGTGAGTTTTGGTTAAACTCAGTTGCCTTTTTGGGGCATGTTGTATCAGCAGAGGGCATAAAGTTGGATCCTAAGAAGATTGAGGTAGTCCAGAAATGGCCTAGACCTACTTTAGC